TTAACCGGGGAACGGCTCCGTTTGTCTCCAATCATCAGAAAATTCGATGGCACGGCGGCTGGATTCAGGAGGAGGATAAAGAAACCCTAGACTGCTATTTCTTTTATAGCTGTGCTATTATAATTAATTTCGGTTTGGGCTTCTTTTTAACAAAAATCAATGATCCGGCCCAGTAAGCTATACAATGAAGAATCTACACAGAAGTGTAAAACTTTTAGCGAACTTATTTGAAAAGGTAGTGTTTGCTATTTTTTTTTATTATTATTATTTTGAATTAATAATCCACGTGTTTTTATCACAAAAGGGTATTATCCAAATGAAATAATCAATGAAAGATAGGGTAGCCAAAAATACATAATTTCGTTATTTTTGCTCACATTAATTTTTTTTTTTTTTTGTTGTCAAAAATAAGATTTTGATTTCATTAAACCGGTTGGTTAATCCGGTCAGTCGGTACAACATTTAAAGTTGATTTTGCATATGCATTAGCCTCTTCATGTTTTGATATAGGAATAAACACAAATGAGATCTCAAATTCACAGGCGATTTTGAGGATATCTTGTATAATTCCATAGATTTCTAAGTGAAATTTGTTCCCTTTAAGGAGATTTATCAGCAGCCGAGAATCCGAATTCATCGAAAAACCGGAGATTTTCATCGTCGATGCTTGTGTTATGGCCTCTCGCATAGCTCACATTTAATTCACATTTCTCTTCTAGTATTAAATTATCCTAACTGTGACATGTACGTCGTGTAGTCTTCCTTCGTGTTAAATGACATGCTAAGTAGTATGTATAATACATGGCCGTGGTTGTATTTTCTTTGGTACAATGATCTATGGTCATGATTCAGGCACCTTTGCAAAATCAATTTGTTTTCCGGAAATTTTAAAATATTGCAGCAATATAAATTTAGTTATAGAACCGAGTCAAAACTTTCAAAATATTTTCCGAATACCGAGCTGATCGAGAGTGTTCGATTTAAATTTATATTAGTCATTCTCTCACACTATCATTTTATATAGTATAAAGCTATATCTAGCTGCCAGAAAAAAACTATATATATATTGTTCTGTCGTCCTTGAATTAAAAAGATGGTAAAAGTATCAAATACTAATTTCAAGAATCATTGGAATACTTTGTAAAGTAAGGGGATAATAAACATTTAAAGGTTTCTTAATTCACGTAACGTAATATATGACACTTAGTTTGAAACATAATGAGTATATGTAGGGTTTTGGTCTCAAATACTCAAATCTATTTTGTATCTTTGGATCAAGAAACCACAGCTGAAACGTATTTCCATTTTCCATTTAATCCTCTTTCTTGGTTGAAAAACAACCATTTAATCTTCCTCGTGGTTATTATTATATCGTTGACAAGAATGATGCAAATTAAATACCGTGTTCAAAAATAAATTTGTTGAAAGATGGTTGATTCGTAGTTGTGTACTACCGGATGAAAAAAGGTCGTTCAAAGATTGTTCCCGAAATTAAAAATGATATTATCCGTAGGAAAGTCGTTAATTTCATATTGTTATGTGTCATCATCATCTATGTTAATGCCAGTAGTACTATATATAGTAGTGAAATTCCCATATGATTATGTTAATTAATTAATAAAAGACTAATAATTAAAGATTTCGGCTTCAAAAAATCATGAGTTATTGGACACGCCCTTCCGATTCGATGTATTAATTACGAATTTACGACACAAGTCACAATTAATAAGTTAATACAAACAAAACTAAAGAGAATATTGATTGGGAAAGAAATGAGATACGTAAGATCGAGCGGCATTGTCGTGGCAGAAACATAAGCCACCAACTGAGACGTGAGAAGTCTACGTTCCGATTAATGTTTTTGACCTTTCAATTTGTCGCCACTTTCATTTCTCATCAATTCTACTTGTTAATTAATAATCTTTTTATGGATTAAACACCATAATGAATGTATCCCATTCATGGGAAAGTGTTGAAAGCCGTGGTATCTTAGCAAGACTCGAGCCATCCTCATGAACACTCCACACAACCCAACATGAAAAATGTTCACAAAAGAGTAGCTCGAAACAATTGCATCTCTCTGCATTGAAAAACACGTGCTTGTGTTCTCATATGAGGTATACGATAAGCTATCGTTTGAAATGGATCACATTTCCATAGCTTCTCTTCCCGGTTTGTACGAAAGAACCGTGACAATGAATTCTCTGGGAAAGACTCTCTTTAACCGGATGGAAGTCGGTTGGGCAATTGCACCACCTCATTTAACTTGGGGAGTTCGACAAGCACACTCTGACCTCACATTCGCCACTTCAACACCGATGCAATATGCAGCCGTTGCAGCTCTCAAAGCACAAGAGTCTTACTTCAAGGAGCTGAAAAGAGATTACAATGCGAAAAAAAGAGATTCTTGTAAAGGGTTTGACAGAAGTCGGGTTTAAAGTCTTCCGAGCGAGGAATCCACATAGCACGAGCATTGTTAGATCTTCCTCGTCCACGGCTTCTCCCCCGTGTAGGCCGACCACCACGTTGCACTGGTCTGTATATATTCGACATCGACACGATTGGAGGTATCTCTGTTATCAGATTGTATTGATCTTGCTCTAC